TTAGTAAGGTAACTTTTGGTGAGGTTTCCATAATTGTAAACATGATTTTCGCTTTTCTTTTATTTCTTTTTCTTTTTTCTATTTAGTCCCTTTTGTCTAGATTTCAACAATTTCTAATATAAGTGGTTTTGACAATATTTATACTAGGAATATCTTTTGTCACACGTATTATTTGATTTACATTTATTGTAAAAAAATCTGTAAAACCATATAACTATCTTTTCACATTTTTGATTAAACATTTCTCTTCATGTGATTGGATTTCAGACCAAACCTCGGTAGATATTCCAGGGAAAAAAGGGGGGAATAAAAAGAGAAACACAGCAGCTAATTCAATTTACATTTATTCAGTGCACTATCTGCCTGTACTTGAATGAACCCTACTATTCCAACCAGAGTGAAACAGGACCACAGGGAGGCCGCTGTTTCAGTGCGGTTACGTGAAACTCGGGCACGGGAGTACCAAGAGCTCAGGTCAATACACAACAAGAAGTGGTGAAAGGTTATCATTATTATCTTTTATATATGTTTACTTTAATAGGATTTTCGTGGTACGAGGCGACCACTTTCCTTGATGAAAGGTACCATACACAAACGTCACACGAAACACCATGCCTGCTGTAATACTTATGAGTAAGTTCCTATCCTCGACACCGAATATAATAATAATAATAATTATAGTTTGCCACACAAATAGATAACTCTTGCAGGAGCCAACACCCAGTCCCATGGTTCCTCTGAAGTAGCTAGGAGGAGGGGGAGGAGGTGGAGGGATAGGAGGAGGGAAGCGGAGATAAAACAGGAAGAGAAGGATGGAGAGGAGGGAAAGGATAGGAAGGAGATAGAGAGAGAGAGGACCGGGATGGAGGAGGGAAGGAAAATAGGAATGGAGAAAGAAAACAAAAAATAGAGGGCTGGGGTGAATACAGGAAGGGAGGAAACGAAGGAGGGAGGACGTAGTGAGGAGGAAGGGGGAAGGAGGGAAGAATCAGGGAGGGAAGGGAGGGTCTCTCATTGTCGCGACGGAGGGTCCCGCTCCTACACGACTTGGCGGGGCCGATAAGTACGTGAATCCTGGGCTCATAGCTGGCATGGGCTTGGGGTTGGAACCTAAGGAGAAAAACCCAACACTGAATCGAAGTGCCTTATAGAGCGAAATATGGATCGTCCGTTGGTTATAGGTCTCTAGACTATGTCCTAAATCAGTTTCTGACATCTTCCGATCTAAGAGATTTCCTTAAAGAGATTAGATACGTTATTAAGAATGATATGTGATTGGTAACCTGCATTATATAGACGGATGCCTAAAAGCATCAGCACAATCAGACTCACATATATAATCTCAAGAGACACAGGGCTAAATAAATGCAAAAAATCGGTTTCCTAATTCCCAGGTGACTAAACCGGCTCACACCTTGTTTAATTGATTATTAATCTAATAAGACTTGTCTCGCCTTCCTGGAGTCTTCAGAGACGTTCACCGACGAGATCCTTGAACAGCACTTGCTTGAGGGAGAGCTGGCGAGCTTGCCCTTGAGAGGGAGGTCAGAGCTTGGGACCTTCTCCTTGGTCCTCAAGCTCTACCGGCCCGGAGGTCTTCCTCGAGAGCTCCAAAGAGGACCCACGGTCTTGAAGCTCCTACTTAAACGACTAAGAACTAGCTAAGGAACTAGAAGTTAATCCCTGCTTCGATTCATATGATGGCTAACTACATAGCGAAGTCTCCCCTTGCCTTTATGAGGTGCGTACACACTGCCACGCAAAAAATAGAGAAAACGGGAAGGGGAGGACTTAATTATGACTCTTTATTTAACAACCACTGAACCAACTACATCACGAACCCATAGGGTGTTTTCCCTTATTTGTCATTCCCTGTTCTTCTCGTCTAATTCCATCCATTCCTCCATTCTCCTATATTTTTTTCTCCAAATTGCTCTCTTCTTTCTGCCTAAACGCTCTCTCTTCTCGCTCTTCAGTCTTCTCTTTTCTCTCTTCTCTCTCTTCAGTCTTCTCTCTTCTCTTTTCTCTCTCTCCAGTCTTCTCTCTTCTCTCTTCCATCTTCTCTCTTCCATCTTCTCTTCTCCTCGTCCCTCTCACTCAATCAAGTGTTGTTCAGAGCTCCTCCTCAGGCCAGTCTCTCTGCCCCCTCGGACGCTTAAATGCTGACGTAATCATGGGTCTTCCCCGTCAGTCTCTTCTCCCCATCGGTGTGTTCCACGATATGCTGGACCTGCAACGCATACAAGGAGCCCGTTATATAAAAGGGGGTTTGGGGGGGGGCGGTTCTTGGTTGGAGGGAGGGAGGGAGGTGGGGGGGTCTGTTTTGGTAGTGTTTGTTACTGTTTATAATGGGGTTGGTGGAGTTGTTGTCTTTATTATTGTTTTCTTGGTGGTGTTGGTCTGTTTGATGTGTCATTGTTATTATTATTATTATTATTATTATTATTATTATTATTATTATTATTATTATTATTATTATTATTATTATTATTATTATTATTATTATTATTATTATTATTATATTATTATTGTTGTGTTGTTGTTATTATCATTAGCATTATTATTTTTATTATTATATCATTATTACTATTATTATAAGTATTGTCATTAGTATTACCCTTACTATTACTTCTATCATTATTATTAATACTATTATTATGACCATCATTATGATTTTGATTATGATCTTTGTTGTTATAATCATTTTCATTATTGTTATTCTCATTATAAAATTATTATTATCATTATCATATTATTATCATTATCATCATCATTATTATTATTACTTTTTATTATTGTCATCATAATTATTATTATTATATTATTATTATTATTATATATATTATATATTATTATTATTATTATTATATTATTATTATTATTATTATTATTATTATTATCTTTATTATTATAATAAAATTTAAAAAGAAAATAATAACAAGGATAATAATAATAATAGTAATAATAATCATCATTATAATGATAGAATTGATGATGATGATCATGATGATTATGATGATGATACTGATAATCATAATCATCACATTGCTATTATATATCATTTTATTAGTAGTAGTATCATTATTATTGTTATTATTATCATTATTATTGTTATTATAATTTTTATCATACTATTATCATTATCATCATTATTATCATTGTTGTTGTTGTCATTATTATTTTTGTTTTGTTTTGTTTGTTATCATCCTTGTTATTAGTGTGATTGTTTTATGCTTTTAATTGTTTGTGTATTATTTTTATTATTAATATAATTTTATCTGTATTATTATTACTAATATTGATATTATTATTATTATTATTATCATAATCATTATTATTGATATTGTCACTGTGATTGTTATGATCATAATTATCATTATTATTATTGTTATTAATATTATAGTTGTTATTAATATCGTTATTGTTATTATTATTACTGTGTTTATTACCTTTATTGTTAATATTATTCTGATTAGTGTTATTATTGTTATTATTACTAAAGTTATTAAAGCTACTAGTACAATTATTATTACAATTATCATTATCAGCATTGATATTACAGTATCATTAGCAACTACGTTATTCTACGTCACATTATTCCTATCAATTGTCATTAGCCTGTTGGTAGTATCATTATCACCACCATCATCACAGTCCTAATAATCATTAAACCTCGAGAAACGTAAATTTGAAGGAACTGATATTATACAATAGTTACCCCAGTATATAGAAAACGAATACGAAAAGAAAACGAAGCCCATGCTCAGAAAGTTTGGGAGATACATGCATAATCCGTGCAAATCGCCAGGACTATAGAATCTCTTGTAATAAGAAATAAACAACAGAAATTTCAGTTAGATCAGCAAGAAGGGAGCAGAAGTATTTGATTGAACAGATGAATTCCTAGATTTTTTTTTATATATAGGAAGTTGTAAGTTTGTTTGTAGTTGAATATTGATATAACGTTACACAGATCTGAGGACTCATCTCAATAGAATTTTGTGTATAGGAAAAAAGAGGAAAAAAAGTATTATCAATATTATCACTTCATTTTTGGTTCACTATTATTTAGTACGTGGGTATTCGCCATAGTTCATGACAGAAGACGTGTGTCGATTTATTGTACCAGGAAAGATTTTTACTTAGTCTGAGAATCTGTTTACTAGGAAGTGTATCCCTTTGCTACGCCACAAAATTTGGTTATAAGGATACATTTTTTATTGGGTCACAAAATCAACGGGCAGGGGCACAATATTGATTCATTAGGGCGGAGAATTAATTTACTAACTCGAAAAATCACTTCACTTTGGCGCAGAATGAATGTGTTTGGGAGCAAATTCTATTTAGCGGGGCGTAAAATATATTCACCGGTACCCAAAATTAATGAACCTGGGGTGCTTGGAATTAATTACCTTGGGCCCCAATTTAATTGACTTGGGCGCGATATCGATTTTTTGGGGCCAAGAAATTGGGTTACTTGAACAAATAATTAATTTAATCTTGCGCCAAGGAACACACTTGGGGCAAGATTAATTCATTGGGCATAAGATCTACTCCCTAAGAAACAAACCTATTCACTGGGGCACACGCAACCCGTTACCAAGACAAATCATTGTCTTCTTAGTTCACAAAAGTATAGTGATATACAAGGGCACAAAATCTATTCGCCAAGGTACAAAATCTATCCATTGGAGCACGGAATATATTTACCAGTTCACTAATTAGATTAACTATCAAAAGCAATGCATTTATAATATATGTACTGGACCACAAAATGAATTTAGTAAACATTTTTTTTTTTTTATTATTGGCACACAAAATCTAAACTATCAGCTATTTCACAAAATCCGTTATTTCGGGCACAAAAATCCTTTTACCAGCTAACAAAGCATACGGCACAAAAGTAAATGATCAGGCCAGATGATACTTTTACTCGTTCACAAAATCATTTTTTCTAGAACACAAACAAATCACAAGGCCAATTTAGTGGCTATCTACTA